CAGGAGTCCGAGGCAGGAGAATCACATGAACCAGGGAGGCAGAGGTTGCAGTGAACCGAGATCGTGCCACTGTACTTTAGCCTGGATGACAAAGTGAGACTCTGTCTCAAAAAATGAAAAATAAAAATAAAAAAACGTAACTTGGTCTAAGGGATGTGAACATTTCACAACCAGTCCCAAAGTTTGATGACTACCACTGATGAAGCACGTTTCTCCTTATTCTCATACCAATCATTTGAGCTCACATTTAAGATAATTTCCTCGAACCACTAGCTAAACTTGCAGATGCAACAGGAGTCAGCCCCTCCCCATGAGAATCCTTTATATGCCCGAAAGCAGCAATCACACCAACCTCTGCCTTCCAGGATGCTTCCTGCTCCCAAACCTGCACTTTGTAGGGGCCCCACAGAGCTTATGATGTGCCCTGGTGGGGAGAGTTGCTCAAGAGGCAAGTGGCTCTTGCCACAAGAAAAATGAATCATGAGCACAAGTCAACACAAGAATCCTGCAGTTCAGACAATTACCCAAAGAACACATTTTCTGATAATTACAGAGCTAAAAATGGATCCACTTTGAAAATCCCTTCCTTTCTCCCAAGAAAGCTGAGGAGGTGGTTTAACAACAATCAGCTGCTGAGATGCATCACATTCTAGGGTGTTTAGGAGGCTAGTTCCAAGAAATTCTTGGAAGGTGCAGTTCCCAGAAGGTGGTGCTGCTAACTAGACCCATTAACCCTCCCCGCCATCCCCAACACATGCTCACAGCTTGGGAATCAGAACTCAGAAGCCCATTGGAAATGAGAGAGACAGGAGGGAGGAGACCTAGGCCGGCCCACCTTGTGATGCTGCTCAAACACCAAATGGCACTTACCTAAGAAAACGGGAGGGGATGCTAAGGGGCGGTGCAACCAGCCAAGGATTATCTCGGCTGGCCAAGTGTGTGCTTAGTGATGTTATAAAGGGTTTTAGGTAGAATCTAAGGGTCAGGATGATAATAATAACATTTAATATGCATTGTACACTTATGAGCCAGATGTACCATATTATCTCATTTAATTCTCACACACCTGTATGAGCACGGTCCTGTTATTTTCACCCCTAGTTTACAGTCACACTGAGGCACACGCTGTGAGTTACAAGGATAATAAGGAGAGAGGCAGGATTTGGAAGCAGTAGAAGTTTGCGCACTTCACCAAAACCTTCCAGATATAAAGGTCCCAGAATTGGCTGAGAGCAGATATTAGGATGGTTGAAATACAGACTACAAGGGGGCAGAGGGTATAAGCATTATGGAAGAAAATCAGACAGAAGACACTGTAGGTCAGAGATCTTCTGTGTCAATAATGAATGTAATATTGAGTTAATTTCAATTTTTAAATACAAATCTTTTTTTATTTTTTTTTGAGAGACAGTTTCGCTGTTGTTGCCCAGGCTGGAGTGCAATGGCGCGATCTCGGCTCACTGCAACCTCCACCTCCCGGGTTCAAGTAATTCTCCTGCCTTAGCCTCCCGAGTAGCTGGGATTATAGGCGCCCACCACCATGCCCAGCTAATTTGTGGGGGTTTCACCATGTTGGCCAGGCTGGTCACTGACCTCAGGTGATCTGCCCACCTCAGCCTCCCAAAGTGCTGGGATTACAGGTGTGAGCCGCCATGCCTGGCCTATAAATCTTATATAAGGAATAAATGTAGTAAAATATGTGAATTTTGTACTATGTCATGGACAGTACTAAAATGAAGAAATGGAAAGATTATTGACTAAGCCAGTGTTTCCAAGAAGAAGGATTTAGATGACAGAAGTGCCAGAAAGTTGGCACTCATTCATTCACTTACTTAGTCAATACTCGCTAAGCACCTTCAATGGGCTGTGCGTTGCTCTACATTCTATGTCACAACCTATGATGGTGAATGAAACAAAATTGCTGACCACCCAGAACTGGCATTGCAGTGAGAGAAGACAGACCTGCATGCCCAGGACCTAAATGCCTTTGGGAGAATAGTGTTACCAACTTAAGCTAAACAACACATGAGCCACAGCCAGACCTCAAGGGCCAGACAGACAGAAGTACCTATAATTTGAAATTACATTCAGAAAGAAATTATGTTGAAATGATCCTCATTAAATTAATAAAACAAAATTGCTCAACTTTTAACAAAAGCATAAGCTTTAAACAGAAGCATAACTAAGCATTAACCAGCTTGCCCTGCAGCCCACCTCCTTATAGCCGCGTACTGCTTGAAAGTCCCATCGCCTCTGTCACGAGGTCCTAACATCTATACATAACATCTTTAACATTAAAGTCCTCAAAAACCTCAAGTTTCCCATTTGAGATATTTTCTAGATCCTGATTCCATCAGGCCCACTGACACCAGCCATCTGTGGACTCCCTCCAAGGAACTGACTTAGGACAAGAATGAAGTTTCTACTTCCTTATGATTTCATCTCCCATGCCCTAATCAATCAGCAACCCCCTGTTCTTCAGCCCACTACCCACCAAAATTCCCTCTAAAATTCCAGCCCAAAACTTCTGGAGGAGGGGGATTTGAGACTCCCTCATGCCTCATTTGGCTGCCATACAATTATTAAGCTCTTTCTCTGCTGCAACTCCCATCGTCTCAGTGTATTGGTCTGTTACTGTGCAAGGGTGCAAAGCTGGTGGTCCTGGTATGAAGCTGGTGGTCCTGTAACAATGATGACATCACTGAAAACAACCTCAGGTATCCAGGGCACACAGAAGAACTAACAACCAGTTGTTAAAAGTAGATGTGCTTAGGGCAAGAGGACTGGAGGAGGAGGGAGATTCCACAAAGAAAGCAAGCAAGCTGGGCTGGGCATGGTGGCTCATCCCTGTAATTCTGTCATTTCGAGAGGCCAAGATGGGAGGATCACTTGAAGCCAGGAGTTTGAGACCAGCCTGGACAACAAAGGAATAACCAATCTCTACAAAAAATAAAAAAGTCGGCCAGGTATGGTTGTGCATGCCTGCAGTTCCAGCTACTCAGGAGGCCGAGGGGGGAAAGTCACTTGAGCCCAGGAATTCAAGGCTGCAGTGAGTTATGATTGCACCCCTGCACTCCAGCCTGGGTGGCAGAGCAAGACCCTGTCTCAAATAAATAAATAAAGTTGTAGGTACATGGCTTATTTCTGTGTTGAGTTAGTACAGAGGTGCTGGCCACTCCAGTGCCACTCCCCGTGGAAGCAAGAAAACTGTCAGGCTGCAGAAGGTGTGATCACGCAGTCACAACACCTAAAGTCTTGAAGTCACTGGCTCATGTCCTCTGATGTCTACCTTTTCTCCCTAGTATTTTGCATGACCATGAACAACAACTGCACTTGACCTCCCAGAAGCTGCAGCAGAGGCAGAGGCATGGAAGAAAGGAGCATGTACAAATGAAAGGGGCAAAAGGCAGGAAAAGGTAGAGTACAGAGTTTCTTGGAGTAAAATGCCTCAGTTTATTGTTTAAAGAAACTTATGCAAACAATATGCAAATTTGCAAAAAGTAACACTAATTCTTGCATAGTGTGCTTACTTTCATACCCTTGGCTCTGACCTTTAAAACGTCCAGGGCTGCAAGTCTGTGGGCCACAGGACCTTGGCCATTGCCTGCTACCTGGCCAGAGTCAGTGGGTCAAGCAGTATAAAAGAATAAGCAAGGCTAAAAGGTGATGGATATGGAACATTGTTCTGTCAGAGAATACAGGACAATATATTGAGGATGGGAGAGAAAGTGGCAACTTGGAGTCTGAAAGGCAAAACTTTGATTTTGTCTTGATCCATTCTATGTCACTTAGCTGTCAAGTGTTAAAGAACAAACCAGAGACTATAGAAGTACCGGCTGGAGCAGGTTATGGGTATCCAAGATATTATCTGGAAAAATAATTTATAAATTTATGAATTCATATTGTTATTTTCCTAATCATTCTTTATTCCTTGGATCACAAATATTTTCATATATAGGTTTTATCCAAGCACATTTCCCTGCTGTATCATACAAGATATGGGATTCTAATGCACTGACTCTCTTAGAAGATACTAAAGGACAAGTAATTAGCTAGAAAAATAATTGGCTGCTTCTTTAAGCTCTCTCTCAATGAAAGGTATCATTACTAAAATACAGAAAAAAACCTTCAAAACCTTGCAAAGTATTTTCCCCTTCTATCAACGTTGGCATAACATTTTATTTCTGTCCTATTCATATAAGGCTCAAAAACTCCTTTTGGGCTGACAGGTGGCTTTCTTATGGCCTGTAGTTCATCCACTCTGTACAGAGAGGTTAGGGACGTCCTTTGGTTATTTTACCGGCAAGTTGCCGTTCTCCACATTTTGCTGCAAAAAGCACACACTTGCCTGGGAAAGAGACACAGGGGCCCCCAGCTATGGCACAGAGCTATGCTAAATACCAAGCTTTAACTGTGTGTGCCCACATGCGCTTCCTGAATGAGTCTGGGGAAGCTGTAATGTACTACCCATCCATTCAGAGCAACTCTCTGAACCACGTGACTCTGCCTTTAATAACACCCCCTCATCCCACCCATTCAGCATTCCCAGTGATGCTGACAATCAAATTGCAAAGCTGAGTGACAGGCTACAACCTCAAAGGAAACCCAGCATCTAGTTAAAAACTTCCCAAGGTCGGCAGGGAGTGTTCCTGAGACCAGCCCCAGACAGGAACAAAGGCTCTGTGGTAATAGCAGCTGGAAATGCCATCCATCATCATGCAAAGATAAAGAGCTTCCAACTCCAATCAGAGGGCACTCGCAAATATCCAGTGCTGTCCTGACACTTTGATTGATGGCCACCTCCTTTAATTAGCTCCTCTTGTCTCTGGAGGTTTCCAAAGAACTGATCACTTGCTCCCACCTCCCCCTTTCCCTGCCACCATTTGCCTTCCTGGTGGACAGGACTGGAGCAGGCACTCGGCCTCACCAGCCTCTTTCACTGTGTGCCTACCCACCACCGTGTGATCCTCCATCCTCCAGCAGGAAGCTGCCACACTGACCTTTCGCAGAAGGAAGCAGATGCGCTCGATGTTCCTCAGCCGTTCCCTCTATCAGGATGCACAAGAAAGAAACGAGAGGGGAGGTTAGGGGTTCTGCTAAAACAGCATGAGAAGGCCCTACAATCAGCCCCAAAAGCGGAGGCAGAACCCACCAGAGAGCCCTCATGGGCACATGGCCAGCATTCTCCCACCCAATGGCTTTTTCTAAGAGTTTCTGACTTTCTTCCCTGTACCTTGTCATGGTCATTTGCTCTTAACAGAACTCTCCCAGCAAACAGCATGGGCTCACCTTCCCTCTCAGTCCAGCATGGATTCCTGTTCTTCTATCTACAAAGTCTCTCTCAGCCTCCATGTACACATAAGGTGGTCAAACTGCCGAATGGTACCTCGTGCTCACGGAACATCCTAAAGCCTGCAGCCAGCCCTCCCAGGAGGCCTTCCCACTTGGGTCTCGAAGAGCGTATGTGCCCTCATTAGTATCTAAGGTAGACAAGTTCTCTGCCTGCTGGTTTCATTTTTCTAAAGTGAGTCTACTTGGCGGAAGCAATCTCCCTACTAAATTAGACACCAGTGATGCCCCCAGGCTAAGGCTTTTTAAGAAGTTTGAGTCTATCAAGGCCTGGCTCACTGCCAAGGGAAGATGAGATGATGGCCTGTGGCTGGGCAGGTGATGATGCCCACTTCATGCACTAAATGCTATTGCCTCCCTTTTCCTTCAATGACTTTAACGATTTCCAAAGCCACACTGAACACAGCTGTGGCGTCTCCCGGTGCTTCATTACTGAGGCAATTTGGTTGCCATAGATGGAATGGTAATGAGATTCCTCGTGGATCTGGAAAGGACAGGTGGCTGGGACACTTCATTTCCCTAATTAAATCATAAATATAGTAAATATAGTGATTCCTGTGCATCCTTTAAGCCCAGAGGAAGGAGCCCACATCTGGACAAATTAGTGTCCACATGGCTAGAAAGACACACTGCATCCTCCTCACACATGTGCACATGCAAGCACACACACTTATGTGCACATACGCATGAAATGTAATGCTACAAGACACACACTAGCTCCTTTTCCAGCAAGCCAGAGCCACTGAAGGACAATATCTACCATTACTTTAAAGTAATGAATGCCCTGCTGGTAAAAGGAAGGGAAAACATGAGAAACGAGGAGTAAAACAGAGCATTCCTCCTCCTTTCCATCCCATAGGGCCCAACAATATTGGGAGCTTCAGGGCATCTTAAATCCAAATGGGCCTCATGCCCTCATTGAGAGACGCATCATACGGATCAGCAATTATTTGTGACACACAAGTCCTTCCAGGGCTGGAGTCACCAATCAGTGAAGTAGCTTTTTTAAGCCACCTGAGTCTGAAATGCTGCTTTGGGGGCTCTATAGAGGTCTAAGAGCTCGCAGAAGAATTAAAAGAGGCATCTGAAGCATTTAACTTCCTGCCAGGGAGTAACAACATAAGAACTGGGAAAATGTGTCTAGCAGTCTTCCATTTAGGGTTTTTATTTGTTTTTGTTTTTGTTTTCAATCCGAGACAAGAGTTTTCCCCATGGGGCATCTAGAGTCTTATTCTGTTCATGAACTTCATAGGGCCCAGGCTCCTTAATTAATCAGTTAACTAATTAGAAGTGTGCCTTTAATAATAGGAGTTAAAAAAGTGAATTGAGATTTAACTTCTATGCCACCACTTCAATATTCATCCACCGTTTAATCGACAAATAGCTATGGAGCACCTACTATGTGCAAACTATATTCCTGCACTGGCCTTTCACAGAAGCTCCCTGGAGAGCATATACTAGTCCTGATTTTCTTTATTCTGTCTAAATTTCCTTATTCTTTGCCATGGTGAGATGGAAAGGGTTCCACAAAAATATTTTGTGGTTTCACCAATCACCTGCAACCCAGCATGGAATCTGCATGATGGAACTGAGCGGTAGGACAAATTCCTTCCCTAGCATTTGCCCTGGAATCAGACAAGAAAACTTTGGGTGTTCTAAGTGAGCTGCCTATTAATTTGAGCCCAAACAATTAGAAGGAAGGAAAGTAGGCTCTTGTCTTCCCTGGCATTCCTAAATGAAGGTCTCTCAGACTAGAGTCGCTCACTGCACCTGGTAGATACTGACAGACCAGGCATGTAATGTCGGTGCCAAACACAAAAACATCCAGAAAGACATGAGACCCAGAGTGAAACCTTTCAGGCCTGGCAGATCCAAATTATCCCAGATGCATGGTGAGGCTGGCAGATGGAAACAAAATGGATTTTAATAGTTATAAGTTCATGAAATACAGTAAGTTTTAAAGTGGATCTTGCAGGTTCTTTAAACTTGCATCAAAATTTGCTTTGAAAGAGTTCGGCTCTATTTCATGGAATCAAAAAATTTGATGCCAAAGTGGGCCTCAGATATTATAAAATCAGGTCTCTTAAAAGAGGCAACACACGGTAGATGGTAGGATGGCAGACTTTGGAGACAGGTAAGCCTGGGTTCAAGTCCTAGCTCCAGCACTCATGACCTATAAATCCCTGTACAAAAGAGTCCATTTAGTGGTTTATAAATTGGGTTAATGATGTTTGTCTCGCAGCATTATTGTGAGGATTACAGATTATGTATATAAGGTTCCTAGCACAAAGTAAAACTCAAAATACAACAACAAATCCAGTAATAACTCTCTACTTTATAGAAGGGGACACTGAATCCTGGTTCTTCCATATGGTATTGTGGTACCTCCCTAAAAGCATATCCTTCTTCATGGGGCCTGCAGCTAAGGATAAGAGACCTCTTTGTCCCTGCTGAATGACGCCATAAACATTCCAGGCTAAGATGGTATCATGCTAGCAGAGCCTGTTGTTCTCTCTACAACTTCTGGCTGAAAAGGTCAACAAAGCTACTCCAAGAGGCAAAAAGTTGCCTTAGTGCTGGAAACCATGGCCTGGAAGGAACTTCAACTAAACAGAGGACCAGTGAATTTGGATTGAGAAACACACTCGAATGAACTGTGTGTGCACCACCCTTTGAACTCAGAAGAGCAGGTCTGGAGTACGTTTGGAAAAGGCTCTGTCCACATACAGGGTTGGTCCCTGGCTCTGGGACATGGACTGCACTGACCAGGGAAACAAACAGCCAAAACACCCATTGCCACCCAGCATCCATGCAGAAGCTCCCAGTCGGAGGCACAGCCAGGGCACAGGGGAAGGGCAGCATGTAGGGCCTGCCAAGCCAGACAAGCAGGAAGATGCCAGGAGCCACGCATGCTGGGGCAGGCGGCCTTTCATATCTCGAACCCAGACCAGGACACTCAGATTGCACCAAATTCTCCAGGCAGAGGTGAGCTGACCACAGACCCACAGAACCACCTGAGATGAATGCTTTCTGGGTGATGGATATGGTGCTAGGGACTTTGTGCATTAACCCACCCTCCACATCTCCACCTGAGAAACCTGGTGCCCAAGTGGAGAGTGCAGCACGGACATCCACTCATGGTGCTCACGTGCCTGCAAGCATGTTGGCCAACATGGAGCCTCTGTCCTTGTTTAAGGATGAGTAACCAAAACACATGAGCACCAGGCTTTGAGGACTCAAGGGCCACAGCACAGTAGACTATTCCCCTGGGTTACGGGGACAGTCGTCACACCTGATTTGCAACATATCTCAAGACCTCAGCACACTTCAAGAATGAGAAGGCTCCTCCACAACCTTGAGCCAGGTAGAGAGGCACAGTGAGGGCGAGCATGTTCTTTACACAAATCATTCACATTCTCACCCTCCTTCCTAGGCCCTGGGTAGCCTGGGGTGACAGCACCTTCCTCTCACCAGCACCCGCTACTTACCGCATGAACAGGGTTGCACTGGTCTATGGGGCTCTTAAAATCCGTCCTTAACTCATCAAAGGCAATTATCTGAAACAGAATACAGAGATTTGAGGTGTTAGTGCACACCTGAGTCAACACACCATGTCCAAAGCTTCTGTGGATTTGCATCCAAATAACACAAGATAAAGGAAGAGGCTGTAGATGGCATGAGATGGGCCAGCACCTGGCCACTGTTGAAGCTGGCAATAAGCACATGGGGTTGCTTACGTTCTTCTGTCTACTGTGCATGCTTAAAATTTTCCCCAGTAAATTTTTTTTAAGTATTCTGTGCTTTATAAAGATGCAGAGAAAGTCTACTGTGCTGACGGCAGGTTGGGATTTAGAAAAAAGCACAAAAAATTTAAAACTTCAAACCACTACTTTTAGCTCCCTTCCTTCCAGGAAGCGGCTATTTATTTTTTATTTGTGTGTATTGGGGCAGAAAAGGTGATTGGAAGTGAAACAGACAGAAGTCAGGTGAGAGGCAAAAGAGAAAAACAAGGCAGTAGAGTTGACAGTAATAGAAATAATCAAATCTCTAGAAGTCCACAAGCCTGGATGGTTGGCTCCTGGGCAGTCAGCATTTCAAAGTACAGTCTTTTGGACTCTGGTCCTACAGTTCATTTTGGACGAAGACTCAGAACTCCCCAGAGAACAACAGTTTCCCGATATGCCTGGAGGAAAGAATGCTGGAGAGGACCTTCTCCAGTCACAGAATGAGGCATGGCCCCCCATGGAAGTACCTAGCTGACAGGTGAAGGTTTGCAAGCCCACATCCTCACCACAGCTCCCTTGTCTGCTACAGAAGGAATAAATAATAGAACACGGTGGGATCTGGCCAGGGGAGTGTCCTTTCTTAGGGTGTGGAAGACTTGGGTGCTCCCAATAAAATCTCTCCTTTTGAAAATAAACAGACATGGTCACCTGTAATCCCAGCACTTTCAGAGGCCGAGGCAGGCAGATCACCTGAAGTCAGGAATTTTAGACCAACCTGGTCAACATGGTGAAACCCTGTCTCTACTAAAAATACAAAAATTAACTGGGTGTAGTGGCATACACCTGTAATCTCAGCTACTTGGGAAGCTGAGGCAGCAGGAAAAAAATAAAATAAACAGACATAACCAACTCCCCAGGAAGGCACATACCAGGGGTCCCTGAACACTTGGCAGAATTGCTGAAGCAAGGAAACCAGCTTCCCACCCCCATATGTCCCCAATCCAGCAACATGGGGCTGGGAGTAAGCACTAAGTAAGAGAAAATAACTTCCCTCTACAAAGCAAGTAGAATTTTAAAGCAGTCATATGTCATCCTGATTTCAATCCTCCTACAGAATTTGAAGAAAATTCCAGTATAACTTGTATTAAACCAACACATTTCTATATCATCCCTTGCCAGATAATTATCCAGCCTGTACTTAAACGCTTCAGGAACAAGAAACTCACCACTTACTGAGGATGCTCATTCCATTTCTGGCTACCTCTAATTAATCATTGCTTTCCTTATTAAACTAATATATGACTCCCTGAAGCCTCCACCCATAGCCTAAGCCAGGGTCAGCAAACTACAGCCTGAAGGCCAAATTCCAGCCTGCTACCCATTTTTGTTCAACCTGTCAGCTAAGAATGTTTTATTTTTTTTTTTGTTTTTTAGTTTGCATTTTTGTTTTTGTTTGAGACAGAATCTCACTCTGTCGGCCAGGCTGGAATGCAGTGGTGCAATCTCGGCTCACTGCAACCTTCATCTCCCGGGCTCAAGCAATTCTCCTGCCTCAGCCTCCCGAGTAGCTGGGTACAGGCGTGTGCCACTATGCCTGGCTAATTTTTGTATTTTTAGTGGAGATGGGGTTTCACATTTTTAACACTTTTTAAAAATAATTGAAAGAAACCAAAAGGAGAATATTTTGTGGCATGTGAAGCTTATATTAAAATTCAAATTTCAGTATCCATAAAGGTTTACTGGAATATAGTAGCATTTATTCTTTTATCTATACTGCTTTTGTGCAACAGGAGGATTGAGTAGTAGTTACAGGCTGTAAGGCTCACAAAACTCAAAATATTTACTCTTTTGCCTTTTATAGAAAAGATCTGCTGACCCCAGCCTATTCTTTTATTTGCCCTCTAGAGCTATCCTCTCCAATACGGTAGCCTCTAGCCACATGTAGCTTATTAAAGCTTAAACTTTTAATTAATGAAAATTAAATTAAAAATTCAGTTCATAGATACATTTTAGTTGTTCAACAACCCTGTCTATCTAGTAGCTATTACACGGCACAGATATAAAACATCCCCATCACCACAGAAAGTGCTATCAGACAGCACTGCTTTAGAGGCACATAGGATGGTCAAATAGCTCCTCCACAAAGAACCCCTTTAAGTACTGTCAGCTACAGGGACCTCAGCAAATCTTTCTTCTTCAAGCTAAATCTCTCCAACCATTGTTTACACAAACTACCACTAAGCTGCCTCATCATCCTGATTGTCCACCACGGATGTTTCAGGTTGTAAATGTCCATTCTAAAGTGTGACAGTCAGTACTAAACACTAGATTCAAGGTGAGGGTGGCAGGCACGGACAGTAGAGATGTCACTCACCTTCTCTGTTCTATAGTCTATGCTTCTTTTAATGCAGCCTGATGTCATTAGTTTTTTTGTGGCCATATCACTTTCCTGGCTTTATACTGAATTTGCATTACCTAAAAGCCCTAGGTCTTTTTCATGTGCTTCAGTTAAACTCAGTCCACCTCATTCTGCACAAGCATTGTTGGATTTGGAGGCCTAAGAGCAGGAACTAATCTTTATCCTGATTAATTCCTCCCTATTCAATCTGGTCTGCTGGTCTGATCTTTTGAGACATGACCTATCTCCCAACTATTATATAAATCCTAATAAACACAGTATCGTCAATACCCACATCCACATTCACCCTGATATAAATGTAAACCGAGCAGGACCAAGGCCAGAGCTCTGAGCGCACCATTCCTAGCTCCTGTGAGGCTGACATCGGTTTTCCTGACACCTATTATCTATCCAGTTATAAAGACGGTTCACTGTATTTGGATCCAGTCACTGAAAGCAAGTATCTGGATAGCTGCAGAACTCCACAACTGTTAGGGCTCCACATATAGGGCCCCACAAGGAGAATGGGCACCCATGGAGGAAAGGGAGCCAAGCCCCCACATTGTGAACAATCCTCATCCCCAGTCTTGCTCTAGGGCCCATGTCCCTGTCTGAGTGCAGGGAGGTGGGTCTAGACTGAATAGAGCAAAGGTAGCTGGAGCTTGAAGCAGGAGAGAGGAGCCAATGGGGATCTGGGGCAGTTCAGCCAGGCTGAGAGCCGGCGACCCCTACCTCGGCCCAGCTCAGCGCCTCACCTGCAGGATGGTCCAGAGGAAGGAGGCCTGAAGTGTGGCTTATGCCTTTGAGCTCCATGAGATCAGAGGTCCTTCATGGGTGCTTTCTGATGACGTGATGACAATGCACCCATGAGGACAAAGGCTTTCAGACTCCCTGCCCCCAATATCTACTTGCCAATGTATCTATCCATTCACCTAACATTCAGCCAGCATCCTTTATGTACAGGCAATGGGCTAACCAGTGGAGACACAAAAATCAACAAGATCAGTGCCTGTCTTCACCAAGTTCCTAGTCTGGAGGAGGAGACCCCCATGTAGACATGCCACTGTGCTACAGTGTGATGAGGGCTATCAAGATGATTGTAATAACTGCTCTCATGTATAGCCTGCTCACCATGTCAGCTGCTGGGCTATATGCTGCACATGCCTTTTATCATGTAATCCTTTGACCACCCAAAGGATTAAATGGGACCAATAATAGTACATACCTCACTATTACTGGTCCCATCTCAGAGAAGAAGAAACTGAGGCCCAAAGTAGTTAAGTTACTTGCCCAACATCACTCTTTGGTGCCAGGATCCAAACCAAGGCCTAACACTAAAACCTGAGGGTTACCATTACATTATTCTGTCTCCAAATACCGAGAAAAGTAAACAAGGAGTCAGCAGACAGACAGAAGAATTAACAGCTGTCCCCATGGAACCAAAGCAAAGCTTCCCTGAGGAAGCAGGGGTTAGGCTACCCCCCACTTAGTACTAATTCATAAACAGATTCCCAGTCTCAGCCTCCTGACTTGTCTGAGGATAGAAGTTACGGGCCCTACAGTGTAGTATCATCCTTTGCATGTGGCAGACTTCTGTCTAGAGCTAAGCCTTAGCATCAGCAATGGACTGCAAGTATGATAAGCACAATGATGTAAGGATGGGCAGATGAATGGTCGGCACAGTTTAATTCAGCTGAATGCACAGACCAGCCTCTGTGTGTGTCCTACAAGGCTCCATTGCACCCTTCAGCCCAGCAACTGACAGTACAGGTTTAACTGCTGAACTGTAGGTGAACTTTAACTGCTAATCCAACGATAAGATCATTTCATATCTCACCCCTGTTTTAGAAATCAGTTTTACATTTAATGCAGTAAAATTCATTCTTTTTGGTGAAAAGTTCTGTGAATTTCGACAAATGCAGTTATGCGATCACCTCCAAAATCAAGACACAGAACAGTTCTATCACCCCCAAAATTCCCTCCTGCAACACCCCCCCGCCATGTCTCACCCCTGTCCCCCCGCCCAGCAACCACTAATCTGTTCTCCATCCCTCTAGTTTTGCCTTCTCCAGAAAGTCACAAAAATGGAATCATGCAGTATGTAGGCTTCTGAGTCTGCTTTCTTTTGTAAGCCTATGTAAATACATATGTTTACATACGTTTTAACAGTTTAAGCCACACGTTGCCTATATCAATGGTTTATTCCTTTTTACTGCCGAGTAGTATTTCATTGTATAAATCAACTACGGTTTATTTATCTACCTGTTAAA